CCATACAAATGTCACAGGTTAAGTATGTCCTTTCTAAGTTCCCCTATTTCTGCTGGCAGGGCTTTACTTTGCTGCACAACAAGGAGTACCATGGCTAGACCTGGGTCCTTCAGTTGCTCTTCTTAGAGCTCCCAAAGTGCTAATTGTGATATCCCTTTGCAAGTGAAATCTACTAAATGTCTTGACATTACTATGGCAGAAATGGTCTACATGATAAGGACATTCCATATGGCAAAATGATTCATCTGCATATCCATATTGCAGGCCTGGGCAATGAACTATGACAAAAGTTATATTCTTGCAACTTTTGATATTGTTTTGGGATTTTTAAAGTCCATTAACCATTTCAGCAAAGTGTGATCCACCTAAATTGTGAACCTCCTATCATACAAATAGTAGCAATTGTGTTTTACAGACTAAACTAAAACTGCAAGCAGTACTTTCTTGTCATACAATATCTGCATTCGTGAACCATGAGTATATGACTAGAGTACATAATTAAATGTTCTGCTTCATTCTGCAACTGCAGTAACACTTACTTCAATTCCCTTATCACTGACATTGGTGTTCAATAGGAATTTTCTGTCTTGTCATATATATGACAACACTAAATATTTCACCAAACCAAGCTTTAGGGATTGGTGCTTGGGCATTCTTTGCTCCATGCAGTGTGCATCTCAATGTCAGGGACAGCAGACAATGGTGCTGTTCCCTTATAGAATTTGGCTACAAACCATTGATAACATGATGCAAAACTGAGGAAACTGCAGGCTTATTGCTTGGGCACATGTTTATGCCAGTCTGTTATTGCTCTTATCTTAGCAGGATCTATGGAGACTTCATCTCTACCAGCAATATGAGTGAGACACTCCACTTTTGTCTACATGAACACCCATTTTCCTGTTTTCAATTTCAAACCTGCATTATTTATCCCCTGGAATACCATTCAAAGCTGCAAATTCAAATGTGTGACTAAATACCAAACATAGTTGGTGTAGACCAGGTATCTTTCCCATTGCAGCCTCTCTTTTTTTCAGTGTAAGCTCCATTCTTCTTTTGAAAGAGAAGGGCATGTTACACAGGCCAAATGGCTTGATGTGGAACTCACAAGCCATCTTTTCTGATAAAAGCATTTTTAGGTCTGCTTTCATCATCCAACTTGATATGACAGTATCCATATGCCAGATCTAAAATGTTGAACCTAGGGAAACGTTTCAAAGCTTCCAGACATTCATCTGTTCACATCAAAGGGAAGGCATCAATCTGAGTTACCATGCTCACCCATTTAAGACCAACAGAGAGTCTTGTGTACCTTCCTTCTTGATAGTCACTACTGGGGATGATCAAGCATACCCAAAAGGTTGTATGATTTCCCTTCAACATCTGCCATATTTCATTGCTGGCCACATCCCTAATATTCCAGGTAAGTCACCATGATGGTTGCTTTATCAGAGGTGTGTTGCCATTGGTATACTAAACCAACAAGTTGCTTTTGATGTGTTGGTCTAGATTGTTTGCACAATCCTTAGTCAATTATCTCATATGTGTTAGTAGCCACTGTGCAATGAATGGAACTCTAACATTATCACTAGCCTTGGTTACTTCCACTTCACTTACCACACCTATGGTCATTGTGGCATAAAGCTGGATAGCTGATTACCTATAATAATGGAACAACAATTGTACTTCTTCCTACTTAAACAAATAACTGTCAATCTAATTCTTCCTGCTTTTTGCACAGGAAATAATTCATTTAATGCATGGCTTCTATAATAACATTAAATGTTACTGATGCACTAGACTTTAGCCATAGTATAAAATGGAACACCTCTTGTGTATACAAAGGTATGCACTCATGTAATTCATTGTTTCTTGGCCTGAGATGGATGATGTCTGATAACTCTCCCACAGGACATCTATTCAGTTGCCAAGGAAAAATTGACTGATTATTTCTGCAGTACATCCATCACAAGAATGCCAATGCTATATCTAAGGTTGGAAATGACTATTTTCATTCTATGAGTATTGTTTCCTGGACACAGTCTGAGATATACTTGCATCTACTGAGCCTAAAGATTTATAATGCTTAAAACTGAGTTTTGATATCCATGAGGGCACAGCACAGATGGCCCATTGTTTAACTTTGCTTGACAACAAACAAACAAAGCATATAGTCTATTTCCATTCAACAAGTGGTTGTCTCACTTGGAGGGCTTAATACATTGCAAAATCTACTGGTGTTCTCTCTGCTCCTTTGTCAAGCAGAAACTCAACCTCTCTTCCTTTTACTGTGATATGCACATATCAAGCTCCATCCAGCCCTGAGAGGCTTGGGTTGACCACTAAACCCTGTAGTGCATGTTGTAATGCAAGCTATTGGCTGTGCTCCTCCCAGTTGATTTTAACGCCCAATTTGGGCTCCAATAATTTCCAGAACTTTGATGGCAGTATTTCCCACTGTTGGTTCTTCTATACATGCTTAGCCATTGATTGAAGCCTATATCCTAACATACTTTGCCTCTCTGTAAAATATTGGAACTGATAGCCTTGCCTATCCTGCTGCTCAGTAAGGTATGTGTTCTGTTAGTTCTCTATCGATCAAAGACAAAGTGCTGTGTCTGCACTTGTTTTGGACTCTGAATGGTTGCCTTTTATTGGAGATATGAATTGATTAACAAATTTTCTTCCATCAATTTCTTCCCGTCATTCAACTTACTGAAGATCCGATATAGACCATTTAAATCTAACATTTCTTACTTAATGGGAAGTGTCAGGTTTACTCATAATGATTTGTTATCTGCATGACTGATCATTCTCATTCAACATAGGGAAGCCATAATGTTGAGATATCGCCAGTAAAAACACTGCTGTTGTCTACATTTTTGCACAACGTCCAGTGTTACAGAAATCTCCCACACGGATAGAACAGGTATTATCTCCAGAAAATAAGAAAAAACAAGCACTTAAGGACATGACCTTCTGTTTGTTACCTTAATCTTTTTTATGTGTTCATCTATTTAACCTCTCTCTCACTCCAAAGCCAAATTGCGGTTATTTTTTATTAGATAAGAAAAAATCTCGACTTAGTTTCGTTGCTCTAGATGAAGGCAACAACGAGTACAGTAGCGTCGTTTACATTAAATCCTTTCTGGATTGATCTTGGCTCACAGGACTTTTCTCTGTTATGATAAGTCAAAACTTGCTAAGAAGCCAGGATGTTAGATGCAATATTCTAGAACGACGTACTGTGTATGGTTGCCAGACTTTGATCTTTTTAGAGTATAGTGATAGTATTGTTACGTCTCCGTTTGTTAATTAACTTCCCGTAACTTCGTTCCGACGAAACTTTA